CATTGGAACGCATTGAAGGGGTTTCAGTGCATTTCAATGGGCTTTTTATTTTCGCATTACGTTTTAGAAATTGTTATCCTTCCTTTTTTGACAATGCCTCCACGCTGTTCCAGCCCACATAGAGAAAAGTATTTCATTATTGCAAATAGGAGTTAAAAACATGATGCCCTGAACATGCATTTTGCCTGAGGAAACTACCGGCGAGGCTAATAAAAGATGAGTTTCTTTTCCTCTGTGTTTCTTGGCATCTCGCTGGCTGGCTTGCTGGCTTCCCATCTTTGCGGTCTGATTCTCCCAGGCTCGCGGCGCCCCTTCAAAGGTCCTGAAGCACGCTGAGTGGATGGGGCCCTCAGGTTTTTCAAGAGCCTGGATGTGTGCGGATTTAAAAGAAGGGCGAGAGAAAGAACGACAAGAGAGGAGCGCATGGATTGAGCCATCCCGAAGCCTGCTGGAGTTTGGCAGAGCGCTTGGCCTTGTTCAACAACAGCAACGACAAAAACACAACCCAGAACAGGAATACATCACAAAGCTAAGAAAAGCCTGGCCACTGCAGGCCTGAGTGAGGTGGAAAGGGGGCCACCTCTACCCGGTTGCTTTCCTCACTCCCCTTTGGGACCGAATTAGCTTCATGCTGCGTCGTCTTTCAGCGATGACAAATTTCGGAGCAGGCAACGTGAAAGCTGGAATGAAAAAAAAAGGCAGCGGTGTGGAAATGGGCAGGAGCCGTGGAGTTGGGCTTGTGTCGGTTTCTGGGATTCTTCCCTTTCTCTTCTCTCAAAGTTGGCACGCCAAGGCGCCGCGCATTCCCACCCACCCTCCTGCTCTCAAGCTCTTTTTTCTCCAAAGCTCCTGGCAAATCTCAGAAACAAAAGGGGCTTCATTGACTGCACGTCCTGTCCCAGGGGAGATGGAGGTAGCGGCTGCCAAAGCAGGAGGGAGAACCTGAGGGAGAGGAAGAAAAGGAGGAAGAAAGATGGGCTGGGACAGGAGGAGAAGAGCCCAGCCAACGCCGAACCTTTGGCAAGAGGCAAATTGAGACGTTCAAAGGAAGATGGCAGGGAGCAGCAAAAAGCAGGGCGAGAAAGGCCCCTTTCCCCCCCCACCCCGATCCACCACCCTTGGTAACTCTCTCTTCCTCCCTCCCCCACTTTATTGTTAAAATAAAGTTCACGAGGGAACTGGGGAGTTAACCCTGAGGGGCGGCCAGGAGAGGAGGAGAGCTTGGACCCTAACGCAGACAGGCTGTTTTACACGAGGAGGGAAGCCGCGCCACTGTGTTGGGAAGTCCATTGTGGGAGGGCGGTTGGCAGCCAGCTCTCACGTCGCCTCCCTTTGCGGGAGACAGGGAGGCATGCAGGGGGGGGGTCTTAATAAAGACGGCTTTCCCAGCAGCCAGAAAGCCACAGTTGGTGCCTTCGAGAAATCCAAGTGCCCCAAACGCTCAAATAAACTTGGGGGACAGGCTGGATGGACAGATAACACACACAGTTCAGAACAGTTACGTGGTTATCAATTCAGTAAATAGCATTAAATCGAGGGTGGGTGGGATTTGGATAAGGACTAAAGGGCTGACATAGTGGATTCCATTCTTGGTCCCCATCCTCACATGATCCCTTTCTGTGGCAGCTGCTCATCCAGGAAGAAAATTCCCATTGGCACTGGGGGGGCGGGGTTCTTCCAGATGTTAAAATGGCCAGGAGGAGATGTGGCAGGGAAGCTGGGGCACTGCCTCGGAGTGGGCGCCAACCGGAGGGAGTGGGACAGCGAACTGCAGGACAGGAAAGGGTATGGATGAAGACCCTCATTGGGTAAAGGCTTAAATCCTGTCCACTGCTTCCAGTCCTGTCTCCCCGGCCTCGCTGTCCACCAAAGCCACTTTTTAAAAATAGGCAAGTCTCATTTGAGTGTAAAATGCCATGTTTGGCTTGGCTTTGTAAGCGCCAACTGTGCTGTTAAGTCCTCTTGAATATAAAAATGCAGAAACCTCTCTTTAAAATGCTGTCTCTGACACAAGGCATATGGCACACACACAACTTTCAGCACCAAAGTAAGGGACTTAGTGAAGGTTCCCCTTGAGAATTTGTCCAGTCGTATCTGCCTTGGGTCACCATGCTCACAACAGAGCCTGACCTCCTGACCGCATTGCTCTTACTTTCACGGGCAAACTCAAACATCTTCACCACATTAAGGTGTCCATCCAAGAAGGGCACAACTTGAGTAGGCTCATTGAATCAGTGGAACTTATGGGATCGTTGCCTGACCAAACCTCTAGTGATTCAATGGGCCTAATCTTGTTATGACATACTCTTGCATTTCAACCACTGTTTGGTAAAAGGTGGTATGAATTGTATTATCCTCTCTCTCTCTCTTTTTGTGATCCAGCAGTTCACCACATCCCCAAGGGACTCAAGCGTTGTCCAGATCCCTGCTTGTGCAGTCCATATGGGGTGGGTGTAGGTGCAGGCAGTTATGGGTCCAGATTGGAGATGGCCACAAACTGCCGGTCTGGTAATTTGTCCTGGTTCATTTACTGCCCCACCCAATCCAGTGGGTGCCCCAGCTTCCCTGCCACATCTCCTCTGGGCACTGCCTCGGAGTGGCGCCAACTGGAGGGAGTGGGACAGCGAACTGCAGGACACCTGTTGGGGTGGTAAATGTTGACTCTGTCCAACCATCTCGTCCTGTGTCGTCCCCTTCTCCTCTTGCCTTCACACTTTCCCAATATCAGGGTCTTTTCCAGGGAGTCTTCTCATGAGATGGCCAAAGTATTGGAGCCTCAGCTTCAGGATCTGTCCTTCCAGTGAGCACTCAGGGTTGATCTCCTTCAGAATCGAAGAGGGCAGATGCATCTTAGTCTGGTGTCTCAACTGTGGCCTTTTCTGCCTTGGGTGACCGTGCACACAACAGAGCCTGGCCTCCTGACTGCATTGCTCTTACTTTCACTGGCAAACTCAACCTTCTTCACCACATTAAGGTGTGCGTCCAAGAAGGGCACAACTTGAGTAGGCTCACTGAATCAGTGGAACTTATGGGGTCGTTGCGTGACCAAACCTCTAGTGATCCAATGTGCCTAATCCTGTTATGACATACTCTTGCATTTCAACCATTGTTTGGTAAAAGGTGGTATGGATTGTATTATCCTCTCTCTCTCTTTTTGTGATCCAGCAGTTCATGAATAATGTTATGGAGTAGCCTTTCTTTGGCAGGTTCCTCATCATAAGAACAGCCCAGGACCTAAAATATATATTCAAGGTTTCATTCAATTCAGACAAAGATTTTTATTGCCTCAACCTTAGGTCTTAACAAAATCAAAGCATCATGTGCACAAATAAAAAAGTGTGCTGCCAAGTTAAATATAATAGTTTTTATAGCATCAATAAAACACAATCATAAAAGAAAACACACAATAAAACTCTAAGTTATCCTTGTGGAAATCCATATAAGATTGACGTAGTTGCAAAACTGCAAAAGAAAATACAGCCACCAATACTTTTTTCTCTCTCTCCTTCCCTCCACTTCCCCCACTTCCGAGTTTTTTGTTGTTTTCCTATCCTGCACATACTTATTTCCCCACTGTTCCTTATTTTTAATACTGGCAACTAGAAGCGCCACTTTCTGTTGGATTTTACCATTGCTCAAAACCAATTAAAAATCAAAGCAAGTACAGTGGTGCCTCGCATAACGAGTGCACCGTTTAACGACGAATCCGCATAGCGACGCATTTTTTGTGATCGCTAATGCGATCGCATTGCGATGTTTAGATAGGCTAAACATCGCATTGCAATGATCGGTAAGCGTTTCGCTTACCGATCTTCGCATTGCGATCTTTAGAAAACAGCTGATTGGCAGTTCCAAAATGGCCGCTGGATCAGCAAAATGGCCACCCGCAGCGTTTTCACACCCTGCCCTCACTTACCGGGCAGCGAAAATGGCGGCCGGATGGGGGAATCTTAGCTTACCGGTGAGTTTTTTCCCCATTGGAACGCATTAAACAGAGTTTAATGCGTTCCTATGGGGTCCCCCCCCCCGCATAGCGATGAATCCGGATAGCAACGTTAATCCTGGAACGGATTAACGTCACTATGCGGGGCACCATTGTATTGTAGTCCTAGGAGACGTTGACGGGGGCTCAAGTCACAGGACTTGCTGTCAAATCAGACTTAATTTGCACCAGTGACTTGACTTGGACTTGAGTCAGTTTTTTTTCCCCCAATGGCTCAGATTCGACTTAATGACTTGGAACCCACCCATCCTCTCCCTTTTTTTTTCTGAGCGAAAAAGCTTGGTTTTAATAGGGAGTCAGACTTGGCGGTTGGGACTTGAGACTTGATATCGAAGACTCAGACTTGGGACTTGGGACCAAGGGCTTGCCAGCATTGCTGCTAAGAGATGCCGCAATAAAGCAAAACCATAGGAAGGGGTTCTTGCCTGCTAAGAGATGCCTCAATAAAGCAAAACCATAGGAAGGGGTTCTTGAACCTCCCCCGTGCTTTCTGCCTCCCTCTCCAAATGCTTCCTCTGCCCCCACTAAGCAGGCTCACGATCTTGGGCAAGCCATTTGAAAGTAAGACATGGTGGCAAGGATTACGGACCTTTCTTCCGTCTGTTTCCTTCCCTCCACAAATTTCCTTTCCCTTCCCTTGCGGTCCTGCAAAAAGAGCAAGAAGCTTGACATGGGGACTGAAAGCTGAGGCTTCAACTGGCATGTTGCACCAGGTGTAAAGGATGGGCAGAGATCAGAAGATTTTAGGCAATGTGCATAAAAATGTTGTGTCTACTTTGAGTCTGCATATGGTTGCCTAAATATTAAGCAAAAATGTGTATGGATGTTTTTATGGACTTTTTTACAAAGTTGGAAACAAATATGGAAATATAACCGGAATACCCATCCTTATGCTATCCGTCTTTTGAGCAATACAAGCTGTGTCGATCATGGTATGGCTGCCACTCTGCTAGCTTTGTGTTGGCCGTTCTGATTTCGTTTCTTCTCTCCCCTGCAGACTGTGAGTCCTACTGCAAGCCAGCCAAAGGCAACTACAAAATTAACATGAAAAAGTACTGCAAGAAAGATTATGGTAAGGAGCAGCTTCACCCACACCGCTACATCTCTTAAACGCAATAGTAATCCAAAAGTGGAAGTTCCTTCTTTCTGTTCTTTCCCTCTGCTAGGCCAGGAAGAGTCTAGTTTATGGTCAGTGGTGTGGTGGTAAATTTGGAAGCGGACACACTTATCTGCATTCTTGGGGGTTAGCAGCACAATCCAAGATGAAGGGCGCCAGGAGCTCAGTAGAATCCCAGTGAACTCACCCACAAGGAACAACTGAAGCAAAGAGCAACCCTCACTGGGTTTTTCAACCTTATCCAGGCCGTTTTACAGATTCAAAATTCCTCCCAACACCACTCCAGATGTCACGATTGCCTTCTGGATGAAATAATTCTTGGGTGATTTGACAAAAAAAGGGTGAAAGGAAGATTACACGGAGGCAGGAATATGAAAGAATCATGCAACTTTTGTCTAACGTTCTTTCATTAATATGAACCATGTGCACCATCAGAGTAGAACTAAGCTATTTTGTCTGCAAAGTGTTGTGCAGATTGCTTGCAACAGGCCCTTGGGGTAGTCTGCATTCTTTTCTCAAGTGTAAATAGATGCTTGGCCACTCAGAACAGCTCTTTTGGGCAATGAAATAGAGGCACAGTAGCTGTATGTTTTCCTCAAGCATTACTCTAATTACCATCCCACTCAAAAACAAGGGCCTAACTTTGCTCCACTGCATGAGAGATAACATTTGGCGGCTTACCACGTGTTCACTGCCGTGGCCATTTCTACATTTCAGACATCAACCAAGGCTTTTACAGCATCGTCTGCTGAGGCGGCAGGAATCTCTCCAAAGCCATTAGGAAACCATACACTTCTTGGTGTGGATCGTCTTCATGATCTATTTGTTTCTTCATTTTATATATATGCCAGCTTTCTCCCCCATAAGAAACTCCAGTTATCCATTGAAACAACGCAATGTTCACCATGAAAAACACCATCAAGTGTAATATTAAAAACCGTTAAATATTTAATAACATTAAAAACCACCGGTAAAAATGCTTTAGAAACATTTTTTTAAAAAAGCCCTGATTCTTAAAAATAACATTAAAAACCACCAGTAAAAATGCATTAGAAACATTTTTTTAAAAAAGCCCTGAATTTAATAAATGCAACATTCAAAAAAAAGAAATCCCACTTAAACAAATCACTTAATGGCCTGCCTGAAGAGTGCGCTTTTCCAGTGGAAGGGAAAGAGGAAGGGGCAACGTGAGTTCTTGGAGGGGAGCATCCTACCTTGTCTTCCTTTCCCTGTAGAGGCTCCCAAGTTCCAGATAGTCCAGACCCTACCAGGTAGTGACGACAGGATAACAAGAGAGGTCCTCCCCACTCAAATCACCCTCCTCTCACCCACGACACATAAACGAAACAGAAACAGGTCCAGAGGATGCCTTGCAGACTGAGTGCTCTGGGTGTTGAAGCTACACACACACACACACACACACACACACCCCAAGTTGCCTTGCAGCCTGAGTGCTCTGGGTGTTGAAGCCCCCCCCCCAAGCATGACAAGCCGAGAGGAACTCTACCACCAGCCCGGGGACTGTCTCTGGTATCTCAGGAAGGGAGATGGTTAAACATCAAGGCAAAGCTGTATTCTGTCCTGGACATCCGTGTTCAAATACATTGTGGGACGAGAACTAGGGAGGGAGTCAAATCAGGGCAGACCACCGTCGCCTTACCTCCCACCTCTCCGTTCTTGCCTCCCACTCTACAGAAAACTCAGATGAACAAAACTGAGAGTGTTTCCGACACACACACCTACACACCTTGCCCCATTCCTCTCCCGCTTCATTCAGCACGGTCTCTGTAGTACAGGCGGGATTGGTGTGTCGTCCAGGATCAGGTCTCCAGCCTGACATTCAGCAGTAGCATTTGCAAGCCAGAGGAACTATCAGAAATATTGTTCAGCCCAGGAGAACCAGGAGACCCTTTGCAACAACCGACACCCCGAGGTCTTCCCAATTTCATAGTGATGGGACTGTAGCCACCTGCAATACCCCTCTGGCCATTACGGCTCCATTGGCTGCTCCCTGTTTCCCTTCCTCTACCCTTCGCTTTGGATAGCACATGCTTCCTACAGTCAGCAGGAAGTAGCCTCACAGCACCACCGTCCCAGTAGATAAATGGCAGGCGCCATTGGAAAGCAATGGAACGTGCCATCACCTTCACGTCCCCTCAAAGAAGCCATTCCTGCTGGCGGTGCTCCAGTCCGTGCAGGGGTTCAGGCATTGCCACAGACTGAAATCCTGTTACTTAGTTCATTGAACCGCACTAAAAGTAGGCTCACTGAATCCATATGAATTTGGTGCGTCAGCTCCACTATAGGTTCCACCAGTTCAAATGGGTCTCCTGCAACTTACCCTATTTTTTCTGTGTATAAGACTCCCCCACTTTTCTAACCCAAAAATAAGAAATCTAAGTGGGGCTTAGCAAGTGGAGGGGAAAGCAGGGATCAAACCCCTACAGGATCCCTTTGATCCCTGCTTTCCCCTCCACTTATTTTTGTTCTTTCCTCAGCTTACCTCCATGTATAAGACAACCCTCAATTTTTAGTCTAGAGATTTTAGACAAAAGTATAGTCTTATGCAAGGAAAAAATATGGTACTTTGTGTGTGTAGTCACAGCTAGAGTAGGCCCATTTGAATTACTGGGTGAGTTCATTGATTCAGTGGACCCCCTCTAGAGTTATTTACTATCCTAAGGGAAAGGATTTTGGCCGCTGAGTTCCAACGGACAATCCTGGCTCAAGGAACCTGGCCCAGTGGGGGCCACAAGCAGCCACGGCAGGAAGCCAGAAGGTACGCTTGCCCTCCTCTCACTGTGCAGACAGTTTGCTCAACTCCCTGTCTTTGCCTGGGGTGCGTGGTTGATCCCTGCCCCCCTCCCCCGTGGCCACTTTCCCCATACTCAGTGCCACACGGATACCCACACCAACACACACACACACACACCAGCTCTGTAGAAACTGCCAAAGTCATTTTGCTTCACCAGTTCAAGATCTGCTCACGTACAAACTCAACCTCAGAAAACATTTTGTGCTTTCCCTGGTTCTCACCCCGCACCCATATACAGTCCCTTCCTGTCTGCCAAATATGTTAAAAAGAGCATTTTTACTTTATCTGCTTGTCTTGTAAGGGGTGTGTGTGTGTGTTTGTGTGTGTGTGTGTGTGTGTGTGTGTGTGTGTGTGTGTGTGTGAGAGAGAGAGAGAGAGAGGGTGGGAGGGGACTTGAATGGAGGGGGGGCGTGTGCGAAGCCTGAGTTCAGGGCATCTTGACTGCAGGTTGTTAATCACCCTGACGTGAGTACATTCAGTCTTTGGAGCAGAGGGATAATTGGTAAAGCCAGTGAGGTTTGTGATTGATCTTCTGCTGGAACTCTTGTGCTCCAGCAGAAAAGATGTTTTTGGCAAGGTGGAAGTGGAAGAGGGAGTAGAAACCATCGTCAGATGGCTATGCGACTGGGTGGCGGTGGTGAAGCTTAAAGAAGAAGGAAAAAAGGACTCTTCTGCAGAGGCATAATTTTCCTTGCCCATCACTGCAATCAGATACTGTTCACTTATTTCCTTTAAATATTCATACTCTGCTTTTCCATCTATCATACTCCAGGAGATGCCTTTCTGTCCATCGAGTTGCGCAAGGTTCTAGTACAAAGCAAACATTTATAACCATAGTTTTAAATAAGAGGAAGGCATTACACACCAAAATTAAAACAGCTGTTGAGTAGAATCACCGAGATGATAACAAATCAGGATGTACCAGCTTGAGAAGTAGCCTGCAATGTTTATTTCCTTGGCCTGGACCGGATCTCATCAAGAACCTAAGTGGTTTCATGATCAGAACGTTGGGCTGGGAATTGAGACGATCTGGCTTCTGATCCCCGCAGGATTAACTGGATGATTCATAAGAATCATAAAATTAACTGATTCATAAAATTAACTGGATGATTCATAGAATAATCAAATTGGGACCTTTTTAAATACTTGAAAGGTAGTCATACAGAAGAGGGCCAGGATCTGTTCTCAACCTTCTCAAGTGCAAGACATCACTCAAGCTACAGGAAGCCAGATTTAGGCTGAATATCAGGGAAAACCTCTTAACTGTTTGAGCAGTACAACAATGGAACCACCTCTGGAGCATTCCAATGTTGGAGGCATTCAAGACAAAACTGGACAACCCCTCTGGAGCAAGCTGGTACGTTGGAGGCATTCAAGACAAAACTGGACAACCATCAGTCAGAGGTGCTTTGATTTGGATTCCTGCATTAAGCGAGGGAGTTGGACTCCATGTATTTATGGGCCACTTCCAGCTAGAGTTGAACTCCATGTATTTATGGGCCACTTCCAGCTCAATTGTTCTATGATTCTGTGAAATACAATAATGCATATGATAATAAGTCAATTTGGCCAGAACAGGTGGGGCTTGCTAGAAGACCTCTTGGAATGTGCTCACCCCTGGGGAAGTTTAGGAACATTCTGCTTCCTCTTTTTCCTGCTGTGACCTTTCTCTTTTCTCTCCTTCCCTTTCCAGTTGTCCAAGTCAACGTCTTAGACATGGAAACCGTAGCCAGCTGGGCCAAATTCACCGTCAACATCCTCTCTGTCTACAAGGTCCGGGACGAGCGGGTGAAACGGGGCGACAACTTTTTGTGGATCCACATGAAAGACTTGGCGTGCAAATGCCCCAAGATCCAAATCAGCAAGAAGTACTTGGTGATGGGCATTAGCGAAAACCCCACCGACCGGCCGGGACTCATGGCCGACAAGAACAGCTTGGTGATCCAGTGGCGGGACGCCTGGACTCGCCGCCTTCGGAAACTGCAGAGGCGGGAGAAGAAGGGGAAATGCCTGAAGCCATGATGGGTTCAGGCCCACGTCTGTCCATACATTGCCTCCCGCCTCCTTCGCCTGTTGTTTCCCTGTGCACTCCATTCAACAGACTTGTTGCTAGAGACTCTGTACATATACATATCATGTGAATGGATGGATTCGCCTGTGTATAGTGTATATTTTGGCAATGGTTACTTTGTGTGTCTGCGGGGAAGAGCTGCATTGTGTGAGTGCCTGGGTCTTTTTTTAAAAAAAAAATGTTTATTAAGAGTAACACAGTATGACAAACCTTTTAACGAGGAGCCAAGTGAAGGAAAGGTCTGATAAGGCCAGTTAATTGAAGAAGTTTGGGAGAAGGCAGCTCAAATCTCTGGGCAGGAATGAACTTCCTACCTTAGTGTTTTGTTTTAATCATTTACACTGTTGGTCGGATTCTATCAAATTCTGCGAGGACCCCCCTCTCCACCCCCCAATATTGCCTGCTACTGCAGGGTGGGCAGAAGATAGATCAGGATCTGTTGGTATATTTTTCCAGTAAGGGGTGAACAGATCAACAAGGATTTCAGAATCTCAACAAGCGCCCAATAGTTGTGGCACGCCATGGGTTCTACAGCTCAAATGACAAATGTTTTAGGTATCTAGAGATGGATTTTTGGTTCACATGGATATGATGTCTATTCTGTTCTGGTCTCACAATTCTGTAAGTCTAGTCTAGCCTTCTTTGGCTGTCCCGCATCTTGCTTCTTTTCATCATGTGACGAGGAAGCACTAGCCCTTCCCTTCTCCAGATTTGCTTCCCCCACATGCAAGTGAGGACCTGCAGAGGAAAGGTCCCTGGCCTGTGTCCTTTATTGGCAAATCACTTTCCCTAAGGAGAAAGTGATAACAGGGAGGGTAGAGGGATAGACAAAACTATAACTAGGGAAGAGCAACGGCAACACAGCCCTACAACACCATCGTTTAGAGGGCACCAAAACGGTGGGTTAATCTGCTGAAGAAGGTTAGGAAAATAAATGGCAACACTTCCCTTGATTTACCACTCCCCCTTTTAGCATAAAATCTCTTTTCCTTTGGGGAGGAATCTGTATGCATGCATCTGGGTGGAGTGGAGGGAAATCAGTGTTAACTTTCCCCAGTGCCAAACTTGCTAGCGACAACTCTGAGCTAGATACTCCCCTGCTCACATGATGGATAGAAGCCGGGCAAGTCATGCTTGACTAGGGCTTGATATGTCTTCTGTACCAGCTCGACTTGTAGGTCCTAGTCAAAATACAAAGTAGATCCCATAAGCATGAAGCCTGCCCCCATTCCATCACTGCCAGCATACACAGAGACCTGTTGCGGCACAAGTCCGGATACATGAAGTGTTTGTTACCCTTAACTGGCACATGTAACTCTTCTGAAATGGTCCCATGAAGCATCAGGAGAGCTGTCATGGATGGGGAGAGTCTCCAGCCATTTTTTGGGGGGCGGGAGAAATAGCTTCTTTTTTTCTTGTTGGGTCAGCCAAGGGTGTGGCGGCAGCAAAGCCATACGTTGGAAGCTAGGCAGCCATCTCCTATCCTTTACAATGCAGTGGATGGAATGCTGTTCCAGGGCATTGTGAAGATGAGACAAAAAGTAGCAGGTGACATTTTAAAAAAAGGGGTGGAGAATGTTCAGCAATATGGCCTTTTTCATGTGCAGAGGAGCAAAAAGGAGAAAAAGTACCCACGTGAACTTGGAGACACATGGATGCTTCTCCGGTCAGCTGTAAGAGTGTCATTTCATCATCAAGAGCAGGCAATTTGTCCAAAGAGTATCGATGCAGGTATGAGAAATTCTGGCAACCTCGCATGCACCTGCCATTCTCTGCTCCCCATCATTGCTTCCCTCACGTTCGGTCCTACCCGTTTGCTGCCTGAAGTGAAGACCAAGTCCATCCAAAGCACAAAACCACTTGGACTAGCAGGGTGAACCTTTCTTGCATGCGGGCCATGACAACGCTCAGTTATCTCCCCCCCCCACCTCACCAGGATTTTGCTGCCAGCTGCCAGCATCCTCGCTCTGTCTTCAACCAGTTTTCAGAGACTTGGCAATCCTAGCTTCCACTCATGTGTGCAGGAATGTGGACAGAAATGTGTGTGCAATAGGAAACCTTTATCATTCCTGTGAGCAGCAGTGAGAGAACTGTCGTTGACAACTCACTGCCCAGTACAGGGCAGTTGGGGACTGGGGACCGGGTGGAAGAGGGGCCAAATGCAGTGGTGATAATGGTTGTGGGACTCGCGTGTAGGACCCAGGACTGTTCCATGGCATGTTGCTGCCTGGCGCAGGGACAAAATTTCACCCCCTACTTCCTTGTACCAAATCTGACTGGACTGGTGGTTGAATTGTCCTTCAACTTGGGCGATGGACATCTTCCCCTGTTACAAAAAGCAGCCGATTAAAACCAGAGGTTCAAAAGAGGCAAAACTTGGGGCTCAACCTCTTACCATCCTGGGCCCCTGCCAGCTGGGTGAGTTGGGTTAATGGCTGTTGGCCCAGAGGTCGGGAGTTTGATTTCCCCCCACTGTGCCTTCCCGGTGAAAAGCCAGCCTGTGTAGCCTTGGGCGAGCTGCACAGCCCTAAAGTGCCCCTAGGAGAAAAGATCGGCAAACCACTTCTGAGTACAGTACTCTACATCTAGAAAACCCTGGAAAGGGTTGTCGTGAGTCAGAGCCAACCTGGCGGCACTTCGTTAAGCATCTGCCCCCTGAGGCTGTGATTCACTCACACTAATAATAGGGCCTGACCTGTGTAGACCCATTAAATTTGGATACTCGCCAACCTGGCAGCACTTCGTTAAGCATCTGTCCCCTGAGGCTCTGATTCGCTCAGACTAATAATAGGGCCTGTCCTGTGTAGACCCATTAAATTTGGATACTCCGTTTTTCAAACAGCAGTAATGTAAAATCACGACGTGCCCTTGTTTTCAGAGGAGGTATGTGTTGCAGGCCAGAATTATGCTGGTTGTCTGTTAGAAATGTACACTGCTAGCAATGCACACGAGCACCCCCAGTCTCGGGCCCTTTGTCCACTCGCAAAGCAGCCAAAATGCTTTTCCTCCAGTTTCGCCGCTTCTAAATATAATGTGGTGGTGGAATGGGACAGCTGATCTTTGTGCGCCACCCTTTCATGAGACAACCAGTGTCAACAGTGGTGACATGTTTTACAGGGTGCGCTACATATCTCAGATCTTTTGGCCTCCACTAGTGACAATGTTCCTCCATCATCTGTACCTCTCTGCATGTGGGTCTGTATCGGCCATCTGATGCCATGGGCTCTACTCCATAAACACTTAGTGCCACAATAAATCTGTTAGTCTCCATGGTGTCAGAAGTCTCTTTTCTGTGTGCACGTGTTTACTTCTTCTGGGACCGTATTCCCTGCTCTAGCATCTCTTGTCAATCTGGGTTAACACTGGTCAGTTCCCCAAACCACATTGTGAGCTGGGCCGTGTTTGACTGGACTTCACTGCCGCCTTGAAACTGCCCACGGGAGCACTACTGTTGGAGGCCGGAAAGTTTTGAAAATATGTGCTGATGATTGGACTAAGTTCTCTTTCAGTTGAACCTGTATACCTTTCGGTGCTTCCTAGCCCCCCGAGGATGCTTGCTGGGAAGCCGTGCAAGCTACACAACCAGTTCTCATGGGTGAGAAATGTTGATATTTTGGACTACAGCTCCCAGAACACCTTCTGGCCATGGCGGCCGGAGTGCTTTGGGTGTTTTGTCAGAAAAAGTGACATACTTGGCGGAACGCCTTCTCCCATCTAGTGGCCAGAGTACTCTGGGTGTTTCGTCAGAAAAAGTGATGTTTCCCATCTCTGTCCATTCCCACTAGCATGCACAGAGTATTTTACTGAATAATAGGGAGACGCCTTCCACATCACTTTCCATCCACCCCATGTTTCTTGATCCTTGCCTAAAACATTCGGATGGCCAGTTCTTTACTTTCCCTGTTGAATCCAGGCAATCCACCGTTTGCAAACCTGTCTGCCCCATCACGGGGCATGGGGAAGGTTTGGGATGCTATTTCCTCATTGGTGCACCTGCTCTGATGTCACAGAAGGGATCCCCTGAGGTGCTAGGGCCGCCTCTTGCTTTCCATTGGCTCCACTGCTCTGATGTCACAAAGGAAGGTGGGTAGCCGTGATGTCGAGGCTGCCGCCTGGTAGCTACTGGCTCAGCTGCTTTGATGTCATTGAAAGATTTGGAGGTTTAGAGCTAACGGGACAAGTGGCCAGATTGGGGGAAGGGGGAGGAAAAAAATTGAACTCTCAAGTCCTTGAACACCTAAATTAAGCATTTCCAGGACATAGCCAAGTTAGACTGTTGCAAAACAAAAAAAGCAACCAAGAGCCTCCTGGCAGCTTGAAGACTAATAAGTTTTATTTGGCAAACGCTCTCGTGGACGGCAGCCCATTTCATCAGATGTAACTGATGAAGTGGCTGTGGTCCACAAAAGTATATGCCAAAGAAAACTCGCTAGTCCAAATTAAACAAAGTTAGCCTTGCATTTACAGCACTGGCTGTCCAATATGTCCTTACTTGGGTCTTTAATCTAAGGCTAAAGTCTTAGATTATATAGTCTTATAATTGTTTTAAGTACCTTGGGTTAATAATGCCTGCTGTTTGATGTCGCTGGAGGACTGCAGTGACTCTAAAGGGTTTGTACTATGTATGCAAGGTTTTCCTGCCATCTGCTTCACTTAAGGAAGGATGATTTCATGGTACGAGGGCACAATGAGATGATGAGTGCTTTGGACGATAGCCAAAGTGTTAATTCCTTTTAACAGCCAATGCAGAGGGCCCTTCAGCTGCTGAATCAGCAAAGTCTTGAGGACTGTTGTGTCCCTGCCTAGCATGCTGGGCAGATCCGGGCACTCCAGTGATGCTCAAGTCAAGGAGAAGTGCCACTTAACACGGCACCTGGCCCGCCAGTCCAGCACGCCTCCCTGTGTTACCTCTGGACGGACTGATCCATTCAAGGTCATCCCCGCTTTGTCAGTTCTCCCAAAGAGCCGCAGGGGCGGGAACATCCTTGGTGAGCGAGTCGCACGCCAAGCATGCCAAGAATTTGCACCTGGCGTGGACATGGAAATGCCAGGATACGCAGGGCCTCGGATGGCCCACCGTGGCTGACAAAGCCTCCCTTTATTGCGGTGGGATCTTTCATTTTAAAAAAAGGTTTTTTTTTCCTCTGGAAAATATATTTAGGGCTCAGTGTGCAGAAGAGAAGAGAAACACCAAGATAACCCTCTGCAGTCACTGCTGTCTTCGTGACTTCCCCGGAATGCCTCTAGACTCTGAAGCATGCTGGGAAAAGATGGTGGCGGCTGCAGCAGCCACTTCATTCAGCATAACCTTTCCAAGGCAGGGCTGCCAGTGACTATCCACTTCCACAGCTGAAAGCCCTCTGGCCCCTCATGGGGCAGAAGCGTACTGGTGGGGCCTTAAGCGGGTGCTTGCCCACACCCTCTCCATCCTGCAGAAGACCTTGGTGCCAAGAGCCAGTTAATGGGAATCATGGCCAGAATTCCAATAACAGCTGCCTTCATACCTTGCTTGTATCCATAGTCTAGCTAACCAGCCAGATGTTGTTGTTGTTGTTGTTGTTGTTCTTCTTCTTCTTCTTCTTCTTCTTCTTCTTCTTCTTCTTATTCTTATTCTTCTTATTCTTATTCTTATTATTATTATCATTATCATTATTATTATTATTATTCTATAAGGTAACGGGTAGAGAAGGTAAAGGGGGATATGAGGAAAGAAAAAAGGAGGGGGAGGAGAACACAAAATATACTGACATCCAATCTATTCATGTTGCAATATCAACTTGTGTTTCTGCTTTTCTTCTGTTTGATTGCCCTCCAGTTCTAATCTATGTTATTCAAGTACTATCTGGTAACTCAGGTCATTTATATAATAAATCCTATCGTTCGGGGCCAGCTGTTCTGTTTTGATCCTTCCCTTTCATATCGTTGAATGGGACTGCCTGAGGTTCTACAGAAAATGCTGCTGTTCTTCTTCGTGGCCTCTGTGAATGCACACAAATGGGTTGTTCTGCGTCTGCCTAACATTGCAAGGTCCACTCCCTGACATGCTGTTTTCCCCCCACAATATCCACAATTTGCACCGCTCAGCTTCCCACATCTGGGGATTCATATTGCAGTATCACAACATCTTGACTTGGGACCTTCCACTGGGGGTGTTGTCAAATAAAAGTTCCTCACCTTTCCTTCAGATCCCTTTGCAATATGGGTGCTCCTCTCCTTTGCAGAAATGTAACTTTTTTTTTCTTTGAGGTTTAGTTGATGCTTGGCGAGTGGTCCATCTACCATCTTTTCCTACTGAAAAGTACTTTGGCTGTGTTGGTTAACTTGTCACCACATTGCATGATGTGCTTGCCAATGCTAGCCAAAGCCACTGTTCAAATTAGAGCGTGCTCACACTGCTCTTCCTGCCACTGATTTTTCTTTAAATGTGCACATCTACTATCTCTTTGTCAAGGCTACAGAAAGAAGCAAGGTTGACCACTCTGGGGGCTTTGGTGTGTCAAACCTCTTTCTGTCCACAATTCACTTCCTTGTTGAACTGAAGAGTTAATACTCTTCATTCATTCATTTAGACGTTTAGTCGTGTCCAACTCTTCGTGACCCCATGGACCAGAGCACGCCAGGCCCTCCTATCTTCCACTGCCTGCCGGAGTTGGGTCAGATTCATGTTGGTTGCTTCGCTGACCCTTTCCAACCATCTCATCCTCTGTCGTCCCCTTCTCCTCTTGCCTTCACACTTTCCCAACATTAAGGTCTTTTTGAGGGAGTCTTCTCTTCTTATGAGACGGCCAAAGTATTGGAGCCTCAGCTTCAGGATCTGTCCTTCCAGGGAGCACTCAGGGTTGATTTCCTTTAGAATTGATAGGTTTGTTCTCCTTGCAGTCCAGGGGACTCTCTAGAGCCTCCTCCAGCACCACAATTCAAAGGCATCAATTTTTCGGCGGTCAGCTTTCTTTATGGTCCAGCTCTCACTTCCATACATCACTACAGGAAAAACCATAGCTTTGACTATTCGGACTTTTGTTGGCAAGGTGATATCTCTGCTTTTTAAGATGCTGTCAAGGTTAATACTCTAACCTAGTGCAATTGGATGCTTGCAGGCTTGGGCCAGTGGGTACTGAGGCCCTTGGTCATTGGACAGTGCCGAAGATGCACAACCAATAGTGTAATTGCATAGCACAATGCTTGTCACCAGGCATAATGCCCAGCACATTTATGCCAGTGTAACTTTACTTTAGGCTGGCATGAACTGGCCATTGCCTCACATCATTAGCCACTAACTTCGTTGAAAAAGTCACCAATGCAGACGAAAAGTAGGAATGGAGACATTCTTTCGGGTGGACTCAAAAAGGCTTGCAAACAGATGGGAAGCATCATTTTTTGCACTTTCTGGAGAAGACACAGCGGGGGAATCTACAGATGCCATTTCAAAGCAATCATGTGTTGTGCACATTCTTGGTCCCTTAACTCTGTTTTGCAGAGTGATAGCTGAACCACAGGGGGTTCCTTAATGTTGACTAACGATAATGCGTGTCATGTGGATCTCAAAAAAGGGGGAAGAAGCAAAACATGACACCCACTCTTCAAGGGAGACAAATGGCATAAAATCCCTGTGCAGGTTCTCTAACTGCATGCATGCTTCGAATGTGTGGGTGTCTGTTTTATTTGTTTCTTAGAGTGGATGAAAGAAGTACCACAATTTTGTCTGCTCCCTTCATTTCACTGCCAACAGCATCAAGAGTACTTGGGTGACAACAGGATAGCACAGACATTCATTTCTGAGTAGAGGTAGGCACTGAGTGAAGTGACGGGGGTGATGGTCTTTCATTGCTAAGATTTATCTTGGCCACAGACAAAGCCAAAGGTAGGTAGATGGAGTGGCCAGTAACAATGCATCCAAAAGAGGACTTCGATGTGTATAGGTTATTTTATATGTTCAAATGCAAAATCAGAACTGGCTATGATCATACATAATCACAATGAGTCCGAAGTCCCACTTGAGTGAGGAAGACAGTGAGCAGTTGACCTGGGGGCATCTTGACTTTCCTGCCCAGTTCTGGATGAGCATCCTTAAAATCTCTGACTTCTCTCCTTATCGCGCTTTGCTTTAAATCAGACTTGGATTAGATAGCCCTTCAAAAGAAGGATTGTCCCCTGGCAGTCCTTCCTATGGACATGTGGCCACCCTCTACGCACAACAGGGGCAACAGTAGACAGAGCTAGAACAAATGGTAGGTGAAGGCAAGTCCAAGGAATGTTGGTTTTC